CAATGAATTGACTAGCCTGTTCCCCAGACCTAAACCCATTTTTTCAAAACTAGTGTTTGTCATGTGAAAATATAAAATTACCTCAGATTGCCAATGACATCTTAAAGAAAAGGCAACACTGTAAACTGTACACAGACACAAAAAACTTGTAGAATGTTACTGTCTAGCAGATCATACCTAATCTTTCAGTCTCGTCATCGTTTCATCATAGGTACAGTTTTAGCTCTGATTGTAAAAAATGTTTAAACTAAGAAAGGTTAATAACCCATCAGGTTGAACCAGTTCATTATTAAACCTGTTATATTAATTGTATTGATACAAAATCGGGTTGCATGTAATTATACAGAATGAGTTATAACTAGTAGGGGATTGATAAGGGTTCGTTTATTTCGAACTAAATATGTCCATTGAATGAAATAAGCCTTAATAAAATATGTTGTTGAACAAGATACGGTGTAACAGTTGGTTTTTTTCCGCTTTTTAATAATAATTTGACGAGCATTTATTAATTAAGAGAGTTAAATGTCATCTTAACAGAGTTAAATCTTATCAAAAGTACTGACTATCCATTATGAAAAGCAAAAAAGGCCAGTCCTAAAAGCTCCACCAATAAGACTGAACAATGGAAAGTGGCAAAAGATAGTAAAGGTGAAGACGAAAGGTTTAAACTGAAACAAATAGACGACATCTAAGATATAAACGCGAGCTGAGAGAAAATTAAAAACAACATTGAAGAAGTAGCAACAGAAGCTCTAGGAAAACGCAAAGTTGTACTGAACAAAAGAAACAACAACAATACATCATGGTTCAGAAAAGAAATAAAAGAAAAATGTAAAGAGAAACGAGAGGCCTACACAAAGTACATAAGTACAAAACATCAAATACTCCAGAATCCCGAGACACCTATTTATCACTGGGAACGGTTTACAAAAAGGATGGAAAGCTACTTCTACGGTACACAAAAACAAATATGGAGATTCATAAAAAAAACAACGTAAAGAAATGGCAGAATTGAATGAATGCAATAACATATAGTCGGTTCGCTATATTTACGCGGGTTTCGGATTAATAAAATTATGCTAATGACTCATTGATAACCAGTTGCATTAAACGACTTCCCAGAAAATTAGGTAAAAACTGCATTAATGGTCATATTTTAAAATACATTAAAATAACATTAGGGTAGGTATAAATTTGTTACAATATTGCAGTTGAATTGATTCTTTGCCAATGTTGACATTGTATGTTTGGTGGAAATATTTAAAAATGCCTAGACGTGTGTTAGATGTAGATAGTCAATTTGAAATTCGTGATACCATTTATCGAATGCGAGCCAACAAGGAACATGTGACCTTAAATACAATTCTCTCGGAATTAAAATATAGAAAATTTGACGAAATTGGCAGAACAGGTCTATGGCAAGTGATACATAATTTGGGTTTTAAATTTCAAAAGGAGGATAACAGAAAAGCCCTTTGTGAAAGAAGTTCTGTTGTGCATAAAAGAATTAACTTTCTAAGAAAATATTCTAAATTAAAAGAAGAAAGAGCAAATTTTATATATTTAGACGAAACATGGATATTTTCTAGGAGTGCAATCAAGAGAATACGGCAAGATGATAACGTAAAATCTATCAAACATACTGATGGAGAAGGGAAGCGACACATAATTTTACATGCAGGAGGGAAATCGGGATTTATAGGTGCTGATTTATTATTTTCATCTAAATCAAAATCAAGTGACAATCACGATAATACGAACACAGAAATGTTTGTAAAATGATTACATGAAAAACTTCTCCCAGGTTTAAGTGAGCTCAACGTAATTATTTTAGACAATGCACCTTACCATTCTGAAGTATTAAACAAAAGTCCAACGAATTCTTGGACTGTTAATAAAATTAAAGAATGGTTGACAAAGGAACATATACCACATATTTTAAAATCAGAATTATTACGCTTGGCAAATATCCACGCAAAACCAAAAACCTTTGTTGTGGATCAGATTATTGAAAGTTAAGGTCATCAAGTTTTACGTCTGCCACCGTATCATTGCCAGTTTAATCCCATCGAATATATATGGGGAATAGCAAAACAATATTATGACAACCATATTGGGCCTAACGGTTATAGCGACGACGCAGTTCGGGAAACTTGGCGAAAGGCACTTTCAATTGTAACTCCAGAAGTGTGGTGCAACTGTATATTCAAGTGCGAGAAACTATACCTTATTCCATTAAGCGGTGCAGGGCATATAAACAACGATAAATTTAACAGATAATTGTTAAAGATGTTCCAAATGAGTCTACTCGTTCCGATAAGTAACAGTATAATTATGACACTTTATTATTTTTTTTCTTTTCTCAAATATTCGTGTTTATTGCATAGTAAATAAATTAATGTTATCACTGAATACAAAGTAAGTGAAAAAATACTCCGATTTATTAAATTAATGAATATTTTATGCATAAATGCAAGTAACAGTTCTTCAAAAATATTTAAAAACTAACCGGAATGTCCATCTTTATTTCGTCTGGCGATGTTATCGGCGGTTCATACCGGTTCGGACACGATTTAATGTTTATATTTTCCTGCACCGCTTAATGAATTTTACTATAGTAGAAGATTGGTGGGCTCGTGAAAATAAAATAAACGAAAGTCCAATCATAATAACAATTAATTGTGATGACAGTAATGATGATGATGACGATTATGATATTTTTGATGATAATGACTGATTTTCATTTTTGTTGGCAAGTTAATTTTTTTTATTTTTCATTAAAAATTCTCTCCATGGAACAAATATACATAGACCATATTTTCTGTGTGTAATATAGTATATAAGTGTAATATAAAATTATTATTGGGTTTATATTAGCCACATTAGACTCCATTAATGAAGTAATTCTCCTTATTATACTGTCAATTATATAAAAGATTTTCCATTATTTAATTAAAAAAAGTTATGGATTATTTTTCATTTCATTTGACCAGTTGATATTTCCCCAAAGAGCAGGTAATTAAAACTGGGTACTTACAATAAAATTTTTAATCCGAAACCCGCGTAAATATAGCGAACCGACTTTACCAGCAAACGAATGGGAAAAATATCTGACGGAACTGTTTAAGAAAAATAATCAACACAATAACGTATCTGAATTAAGATACGAAATAGAAATCAGTTTTCAGGAAGTAGAGATGTCATAAATTCACTCAAAAATAGAAAGTCACCAGGACCAGACGGAATAACCAACAAGCTTCTAAAACACGGAAGAGAAAGATATGACACAAAACTTATACAAAAACTAATATTGCACTGCAAGATACCAGACGCATGGAGAAACAGCATAATGATAACAGTGGTTAAGAAAGGAGATATGCTTTATAGGGCTGACAAAGGCTTTTGATCGCATTCAAATCAAAGACGTCTTACACCTACTGTATAAAAGAAACATACCAATCAATATTATACAAACCATCGATAATATTTACTTCCATAATCGAATACAGGCAAAGATAAATTTAAAACTAACACCGTGTATACCAGTACAAAGCTGAGTCACACAGGGTGACTCGTTAAGCCCTCTTCTCTTTAATATAATAATGGACGAAATAATACAAGCAGTACGTAAAGGTCATGGATACAGAATGGGGAACAAAGAAATCCAAATATTATGTTATGCAGACGACGCCGCATTAATCGCCGAGACAGAAGACGAGCTCCAAAGATTAACACACATCTTCAATACAACAGCCAAGAAATACAATATGATAATATCAGCATAAAAAACCAAACGTATGACAACATATAAATACCCACTATGATGTAAAATCGAAATTGATGGGAAAATAATAAGACAGGAAGCAAGGTTTAGATATCTGGGAATAGATATAACTAGTTACGGAGATGTTGAAGAAGTGCGACAACAAAGGTTTAAAGCAAGTAAAGCGGTGGAATCTCTTAATGACAAAATCTGGAAGAACAAACACCTAAGACAATACACAAAAACAAGAATCTATAAAGCAGCAATTAGACTTATATTAACATACACGGCGGAGACAAGACCTGACACATCTAAAACGAGACAACTACTAGAAACAACAGAGATTCGACGAATATCGGGGAAAATCTGTTGGATAGGGAGAGAAGCGAAAACATAAGAAGAATATAAAATATAAAAGACATACATGGATGGGTGACGAAACGGAAACAGGAGTAGAACAAACACATTAGTAGAATGGCAGAGGATAGGATAGTATGAATAGCACGAGATAAGTCACCAAATGGACAAAGTATTGGCAGACCAAGAAAAAGATGGGATAATTTAAACAATTTAGGGGGCTCATATTGAAGAAGAAACAGGTTTTAAAGCCTACATACAAGAAGGAAGAAGAAGAAGTAAAGAATTAAGAGAAAAGTTTAAGATGCGGCGAGTGGATCAAAAAATCAAATATTACAAGGGAAATGTATCAAGGTTTTTAGTTAATCTTTTAGGAAGATTAGGGCTTGTTAATCCGTTGTGTTTGGCCTTTAAGTCTGCAAAACGTTGGTAATATAAACGTTTATAATATAAACGTTGGCCTTTAAGTCTGCAAAACGTTGGTAATATATATTTATCAGATCTGCTTTATAAACGCAGCATTTAATAGAAGAAATGTTATTAAAATAATGTTAGGAACGTTTGCTTTTATGTTTTTAATTTTATATTTCTTTTATTTCCCAGGATACACCAGGTCTTAATCCCTGATTATCATGTATCTAAAGAATACAATGAAAACAAACTTATACTAACTAGGGCGCGAATAAGCGACAATACTTTTATTTATATCAATTTATTTAGGATAATTATTTTTTATTTACTCTTTTATAATTTTCAAAATATAAAAACCCTGCAGAGAGGTGCATTTTTTAAGAAAAAATCCGTTATCAATAGAGTAAAAAAGCAAAACATGCTCCACTTCTCTCGAAAAATATAATTTTTTTAATCAATGTTTTCTTACCTGATGAAGAGGCTGCTGCATAAGGTGCTGCTGATGTGGAGGCATGGTGGGTATGTACACTGGTGGAGCGTAACCCGTCCCACCTGGCGCTAACCCTGCATTTTGACTACCGTGAATGCCACCCGTGAACGGAGGAGGCGTCCCCGAATGGAAACCCTGTTTTTCATATGACTAAACATGAAAAAGACAATCTCATTTAGTTAGTTTAAAGACAGAAGTTTTTTATTTAATAATTGCAATGAGTCAGAAAAACAATGTCTACTTAACCTACAAAACTGACTAGAATCAATTTCTAAAAACATAGCTTCATAGCCATGAGAGCCACTTATCCATGTGAAATTTAATCATCATTGGGTGTTATTATATTATGTATGGACTCTTAAACAGAGGAATATTAAAAATCTTAAAAGCTTTGAGATATGCTGCTACCGCCGTATACTAAAAATAAGTTGGGTGGATAAACTTACAAATGAAGAGGTAATACGCAGAATAAATAGTGATCCAGAAGTTATTGAATGAATGAATGAATGAATATTAAAAAGAGAAAACTAGAATACTTAGGCCACCTGATGAGAGGACAAAAGTACACGTTCCTACAAATTATTGTTACGATAATAAATATTATGGCGTCTTCTTCTTCTTCTTAGCCTTCTGTCGTCCATGTTTGGACATAGGCCTCTCCCAACTCCTTCCATCGGTCTCTATCCTGAGCAACATATTTCCAATTTGTTCCGGCTATTCTTCTAATGTCATCAACCCATCTCATCTGTGGTCTTCCTCTTGGTTGTTTACTTTCGTAAGGTCTCCAATGTTGTATTGTAGTATTCCAACGTTGGTCTGGTTTATTGGCAATTTTTATTGTATGTCCTCGACTTTTGTTTTGGATCTTACCCAGTCGTTCCTCTTTTTATCTGACAGTCGTATACCTAACATTGCTCTTTCCATTGTTCTTTCTGTTGTGGCTAGTTTATTCATGTTTGCCTTGGTTAGGGTCCTGGTTTGACATCCATATGTCATCATAGGAAGGATGCATTGGTTGAACACTGCTCCTCAAGTATTGGGGTATTTTGCGGTTCTTAAGTATCCAACTCAGTTTTCCAAATCCTGTCCATGCTAGTCTTGATCTTCTAGCAATTTCCGCACTTTGGTTCTCTTTGTCAAGTCTCAGGATTTGGCCTAGGTAGATATATTCCTACGAGGAGAACGATACACTTTTCAGCAACTGATACTCGAAGGGAAGATGGGTAGGAGAGGTCTCGGACGTAAAAAAAATGTCATGGCTGCGCAATATTCGACAATGGACAGGAATCCACAGCTATGAAATGCTTCGCAATGCTGCTAAAAACAGAATTATTTAATCCAGAATATTTAACATCTCACCTGACAAGACGATGTACGGTGGACGCCTACGCAGAAATGCACGGCACCTTAAGAAGAAGAAGATATATTCCTGTATTTGTTCTATCTCACTGCCGTTTATAGTTATATGTCTGGGGTCTTCTGTGTTTGTCATTATTTTTGTTTTTTTCATATTCATTTTTAGGCCGACGTATTGGGAGCTGGCTGCTAGTTCCCCCAACATAATTTGCAGTTCCTCGAATGTGCTCGCTATAATCACTATGTCGTCAGCGAATCTGCGGTGGTTTAACTTGTTGCCATTAACGTTAATGCCATAGGTTGACCAATTTGTAGTTTTGAAGACGTCTTCTAGGGCTAGGTTGAAAAGCTTTGGCGATATTACGTCTCCTTGCACTCTTCTCTTAATGGGGTTGGGATTTGTATTTTCGTCTAGTTATACTATCATAGTTGCATTTTCATATATATTGTTTATTAGTTGCCTACATCTCGAGTCTATTATACAATTATTAATAGCTTGTTCTATGGCCCATATCTCGATACTATCAAACGCCTTTTCATAGTCGACGAAGGCAAGAAATACGGGTAGTTGGTATTCATCAATGTTCTCATTGTCAGCAGATGGTCTGATATACTATATCCTTTGCGGAAGCCAGCCTGTTCAACCGGTTGGTAATTATCCATTTTGTAGGTTAACCGGTTATTAATAATTCTCGTAAATAGTTTGTATACTTGACTGAGCAACGATATAGGTCTATAATTCTGTAGATCACATTTGTCCCATTTTTTGTGTAAGAGTATTACTAGATTCTCGTTCCAGTCTTTAGGGATCTGGCTATTATGGAGACATCTATTAAATAGCTCTGTTAGTACAGGGATTGTTAATGTCTTGCTTGTTTTCAAGAGCTCGGTAATTATACCGTCGTGTCCTGGAGCTTTATTATTTTTTAGTTCTTTTAAAGCTCTTTCTATTTCGTATCCCTTTATATTTATTTTTTTTATGGCGTATAAAACTGTAAATATATTATGACTAATATCTTCTATTCAACTTCCTATTCAAGTATTTTCTAGATCACGCACCGGCCAGCGGACACGCAGGTAATAACCGATGGGTCCCCCAGCCGCTATAAAAAAAACCAGTTTAGGCTCCAGTTCATTCGAGACAATTCAGGTCAACATCCATGGGATTATTTTTGACTAGACGAGAAGGCGATCGATTTTTCTAGTCTAGCGGTTTCATAATATATAATAACATGATTTTCATTGAAAGAAGTTAGTCAAAAGAAGTCCGGGCTCGCGTTAAAATTGTATCGCACGTAGATGAATTATTAAGTGTAAAATAAATTAGTAGTAATAAAGACTTTGATAAATTTGTGAGTGTTATAAATATTGAACCTTTAGTAAATTGAAATAAGAACAATAAATTACAATTAATAAAGACATTAACAATATAATGCAACGAAAAATCCAAGGACGCAGAAATCCAGGCCGAAGAAGAATGTCCTGGATGAGAAATTTAAGAGTGTGGTTTGGCTGTACCACTAACGAATTAATTACTATTTAACTGGGAATAAGCCACAATTAAAGATAAAAATACGTTTATTGACGTTTCAATTATAACACTAACGAATTATTCAAAACAGCAGTTAATAAAATTAGAATCGCCATAATGATATCCAATCTCCGATGGGAGAGGCACTCAAAGAAGAAGATATTATGTATTCTAATCTTAGGAACATTTTGGAAGCTGTTTCACCAATTTTTTTTTTTTCGTTTCAGAGGAATTTTTAACGGGCGAATATAAATTATTAGTGATTATAATATGAGCACTTTAATCCTATTAAATATTATTATCTAATCACTATTTACCGCAAAATACGGGTCATAAGACCTTTGTACCATATGATTAATACTTACAAAACGATATTAATTTAACGAACTAGTATTTTACAACCAGTTTTATATTGTTCACGACAAAATGTTGCATATATCTGATGATTTTCGTTAAATCATGTACGAAAGAATTTAAGATTAATATTAAATCAATGTAGAAGAAACAGTTTGAACAATTTTTATTATCTCAGATTGCCGAAGACATCTTAAAAAAGAGGCAACACTGCAAACGATGCACAAAACACAAAAAACTTGCGGAATGTGACTGTTTAGCAGATAATACCTAAAATTTCAGTCTCGTCATCGTTTCATCACAGATAATTTTTTTTAACTTTTTTTTTTAATTCTACATTTCCTACAAGACTTTTCAGCCGTATTAATTCTTTAATACGTTGATTATTTGTAATATTTTATTGTCATAATTTTTGTATATTTCCGATGTTTATTTTTGTCGTTTCATAAATGTTCTTATGTCGATTTTGTTGTGGTTTATTTTTAATAGTCCCAACCTTCGTTATTTCAAATATATCACATTATATATTTTTTCTTTTTGAAATCCTTAAAAAGATTGAATATTCTCTTTTAGTCTTTTCATGTAATATACCATAATTTCTGAGTTATAGCTAAACTTATTATATCCGCCCAAGTGGACTTCACATAACTATGGACTGCATAACGAGAGACTTGTAAAACTGGTAAAGGAGGAGATTCCCACAGGCAAAAGACTACTCGGACGTCCCAGAATGCGAAGGAGAGATAACATCCAAGCAGATCTTTGGAAAATGAACATTCCATTTGACCTAGGTTGATGGAAGACCGAACAAATTGGAAAAAGTTGTAGTCAGTCAAGACCCACCCAGGGTTGTAGCGCTACGTGATGATTATGAAAATAGATTAATGTAAGTGAACAAGTGTGTTTATGCATCAAATTAATAACAGACAGAACGGTCATTCGATCTATAGTAACTTACGCATCAAACACATGGATATTAAATAAAAAAAACAACAAGAAATGGTGCAAATATGGCAACGAAAAGTACTAAGGAAAATACTTGGGAGGAAAAATTGAGAACGGCGTTTGGATTAGAAGGACAAATTAAGATTTGAGAGAGTTATATGGGGAGCCCAGCATACTAGGAGTAATAAGAACCCAACAACTAAGATGGTTAGGACACATACAGAGGATAGATTACCGAAAATGCTACAGTCACGTACAATAGGAGGACGTCAAAGAAGAGGCCAACGCAGAACAAGTGAAAAATGGATATACAAGATGATCTAAAAATGGGTCAATCAAGCCATGGACCTACTAGGCTCGATGCGCTAATTATTATCATGATATGCATAGATTATTAAATAAACTGCATCAAATCTTTAGAAGTTTGTGTCTTGAGTACAAGACAAATACCCAATCCGTTATGATCCGGCTCGAAGGACCAATGGTCAAATTCTAAGGTAATTATAAGTTCGAATTGTTTTTAATTCCCCGTGTTTAATTCTTCTCGATCGAAGATGATAAAATAAACTGTTGTGAGTCGTGGAGTAAAATATAGTTTTATTGACAGCTACTCAATTATTACACTATAGTTGTTGTTGAAGTAAAAATTTATAATAGATTTCCTAAACTAGTCCCGAAGCTATATTTATGTCTCACTAAAATGCTACGATTCATCAAATAAGTGTATTGCCCTCTGCATAGAACAAAAACCTTTGGACTTTTGAAAACTGGAATATATCATTTAAACCGATGAAATGATTGCAGATGTTTCCTCTCTAAATATTTAATAAATAGTTTGTAGGAAATTTAACAAACTAATTAAGCTACTAATGGATAAAAAAACTATACGGGGCGTTCTATTTGAAACCAATTATTCATTATATTTCCAGAAAACCGTAAAATTTGAAAACAATGTACTAATACAAAATCATGACAACAAAATTTATATAAATCGTGAAAGCCGTTTAGAAGATAATTAAGTGATTCCATACTTAAAACGAATTCTGCATAAGACAATTTCCCAACTACTACCAATGCGTAGAAAGTATTTAGTGCTTATTTAAATAATTTGTTTTTATTATTTTTAACATAATATGACCTTATTGAGTTAATTATTTTAATTACTTTTCATCTTTTATAAAATTCCCAAGCTAAAATGGACTTTATTTTTTTTTCCAATCTGAGAACCACTTACAAATGACTTACACGTATGTGGGAAAATCATGAATTTATCCCAAAACGCTCGAGTTGGGGCTTTTAAAAGATTAACTCTTTGAGAGTTCTAATCTAATTGATTGCGTCTCACAAAAAGAGTGATATAGTATGTTTCAACTGTAGTGGCGGTAATTTCTAGGAACAGTAAAGCCTCACCAAACAAAGCAGTGGCGTTCCAAAAAATAGTCCACTCCAGAACTTTCAGTCCACTCGTACACCTCTTCAAGCCTTCTCTGCAAAAGCTTCAATGATACACGACAAGGTTCAGTCTTATGAAAACAATGAACGTATCTCTAATGAACTGTTTGTCATACTCCCCCACGTCTGTCACGGTAGCTTTCCTTTTAGCAAGTGTTGTAGCTGGAAATTTTAGTGTATGATTTGACTCTCCGTTTGTTAACATACTCGCTTGTTGAATGATCCTTTCTACGGTACGTAAAGATACTCTACTAGCTTCACTCGCACGTTGTTTAATACTGGTTCGATTATCTTAAGGAAATACTATTTGCATATATTTAAATAAATTGTAAACTATTCCTTTGGATCCTGGTGTCAATCTGACTGTTTACTCGTACTACACTTAACATTTCCATTATACAAAATAGTTCTAATACGCGTGGTAGCCCCTTTCTTGTTTAGACTAGACAACATAATGAGACTAAATTACAAACTCGTTTGACATCCAGTGACTAGAAATTCTCGGAAATAATTCTTATCAGTTGTTTGTATGTCTTAAAGAGTCGTTAAGGAGACATTAATAATGACTTAATGACTTATAACAAACAAAAACTTTGGTATCTATAAAACAATCTGTGTATAATCCAACTCCATTTATTATTTATGTGAGTAATAATTTTGTAATTAGTGCGATTTCAAATAATTTAATTTGTTTAATATTGCAACGCCACTGCATGAGTCTGATCATAGATATTCTATTGTCTGCGCGATTAACTATTTCATGGAAGAGCTCGCCACTCGATTTGAAATAAGCTGTAACAAGCTTTGGTAAATTTCATACGGTGGAGCTATTTAAGTAGAATCGTATCCCCGCAACAAAAATAAGAAGTAGGCTGGATCTCGTGATGACATCTAAAACATCAAAAGGGAATGTGTTTCTTTTTTATGTTAATAATTTATCAGTTATGCCGTCTATTTTTTCTTATTTAAATCATATATATTTAATTTTTTCGGCATTCATTAAGCAGCTTTAATTTAACAGCTAATTTCTATATTTCCTCCCTAATCAACGAGACAAAGCTAGATTTGTTAGGGTAGGTTTTATAATAAAAAATAATGAAAAATATAATAACTCAGAAGGATAAACTAGCTGACCAATTGCGTAAAAAAAATCAAAAACGTCAGTAAAAAAAGGAAATGAAGGTTAAACGATTTCACTTCTTTACAAACCTATTCCTAACGACTAGTACAATATTTAGCAGGTTTTTATAATGTATTTAGTTTAGTGTAAATACACTCACCGGCAAAATTAACGGAACACCTTAAAAATGGGACATGTTAGATAACTCGAATTTCCTAAACCTGTTGCCCGATTTTAGTGATTTTTTTACTATGTTATAGGTATATTATTTAAGAATATCACTGAAATAATAATGTTGCTAGACAGGTCAACGTCATTTTATACCGGGTGTAACAATCATACTGTGTTTTTTCCTTAAAGTTCGAAACACCCTGTGGAATATTCTAGCATATATAAAATATTGAAATTAAAGCTCAATTATAGTCTCAGGCTTTCTTAACATTTTCTGTTTTGATTCATTTGCTTGTGATGGATAATAAAAAAGTTAGGTACGTTAACAACTAGCCATGTTTTTCATCAATAAATGCTCATTTTCTTCTTAGTTTCACCAGCATATTTAAAGGAACAACCATAAAATCTGAGTATTTTCTCTCTAGTCTATATACTGTTTAGATAATATCATAATACGAATGTTGGTGAAGTATTTTGAATTTATATTACAATGGTAGTACAATATAAAACATGTTTAAGAAGAAATAAAACACAAAGATGTCAGACTCAACAAAATACGGATTTTAAATGCATTAACTTTATTGTACAGTTTGAACTTAAATTGTTTTTTTATGCATTTTTTGGCTTTAATAGCGTGTGTTTCCCCTACGAGCCCTTACAACTGCAGTTATTCGTCTTCTTATACTTCTGATAACGCTATCGATCAGTTGTTGGGCAGCCTCTCCCATTCCTCAATCTTTTGCAATTGTGACTTCTTCTCTGTTTTGAATAGCAGGAACCCGTGCCCTAAGTTTTCTGCCTAGCATGTCCCACATATCCTCTATCGGGTTTAGGTCTGGGGAACAAGCTGGCCAATTCATCGTTGTTATACCCACTTGTAATAAGAAATATCTTACACTTACACTCTTACACTATAAAATAAAATTTTCGCCAATATATGGTGAAAAAGGTACCACATGGTCTTGGAGAATATCTCTGATATACTTATCTGCTGTTAATGCTCCACCATCAATCACCACTAACTCTGTTATTGCTCCCAAACATATACCGCCCCACACCATAATTGAACCTCCACCAAAAGGTACGGTCGTAGTAAAATTGAAAGGGGCATTTCGTTCTCCTTGGCGTTAATACAATCTTTCTCTACCGTCGATGTAATTTACACAGAAACGGCTCTCGTCCGTAAAGACAATTTGACTCCAGTGGTTATCATTCCAATTTTGATGTACTCGACCAAATTGTAGTCGTGCTAAACGATGGTGTCTCTGGAGTCTGGGAGCTTTTATTGGCACATATGACTTGAGACCGGCTTCTTTAAGTCTGTTTCTTATTGTGCGCTCAATTAAATACAAGTTTGTACTTGTTATGAACAGACAGAATGACTGTAAAATGTAAAACACAATACAAATAAACAAATTAATTTGACATTTTGATATTTAAGACTTTCTTGTGACAAGGAGCTTTCAAAGCTATGTAGATATAGTCTATAAAATACAAATATAAAGAAATATTACATTAATAACAGGTTCCTTTAAATTTGCCGGTGTGTGCATTAAATTGTTAACTTCTCATAGCCTACTTTAGGCTTGTTTTTAAACTAAGCAGAAAATGAGGATTTATTGATGAAAAACATGGCTAATTGTTAACGTACCTAACTTTTTTATTATCAAACATAAGCAAATGAATCAAAAAAGAAAATGTTAAGAAAGCCTGAGGCTATAATTAAGTTTTAATTTCAATATTTTATATATGCTAGAATATTCCACAGGGTGTTCCGAACTTTAAGGAAAAAACACAGTAGGATTGTTACACCCGGTATAAAATGACATTGACCTGTCTAGCAACAATATTATTACATCGATATTCTTAAATAATATACCTATAACATACTAAAAAAATCACTAAAATCGGACAACAGGTTTAGGAAATTCGAGACATCTAACATGTCCCAATTTTAAGGTGTTCCGTTAATTTTGCCGGTGAGTGTAGTTTCAGTAATATATACCACTGACCCTAACGAGAAATATATTGTAATCGAATTCTACTAATTACTCACATTAACTTTTCCTAAAGCGGTGTGAGATTTCCCGTACATCGCAGAGAGATCAGTAGCCGTAGATCCCGTGGAAGAGGCATTCGCCGCGCTACCTTTCTGCCCCTGCGTGTTGCTTACATAACCAGCTTTAGTATAGTCTTGTGACTGCCCTAGGGTATCATAGTTGCCATAGTTGCTGTACGTCGTTGGTTTGGGATATTGGGTGCTGTTACTGGAACCATGTGTATTTGTTGCAGGTATTTGCTAAAAAATAGTTCAAGTTAACACGTATGTCGTTTTTTGTTTATTTATATTTGACGACTCGTGACTTTGATCAGTGTGCCAAAGACATCTTGGTGTAAAGATTTAATCTGTAAGTAATTCACAGATATCAAAAAACTTGATAAGTGTGTAAGCTTACAGCAGACCTGTACACTCAGTCTCGTCATCGTTTCATCATAAGCAATGGGGAAAGACGTATTAATCAAATATGCCTTTTTGTTTGAATTATAAAAATAAGAAAAAAGCCAAACAAAAAATTACTGCAGTTCGTGAGCACAATATTAAAAAAAAAATAATAATAAAGCATTTAAGGAATTGAAATCAGAGGTTTACACGGAGTTTAAAACCCGAAATCTTCCGGGTTTGGACCACATCTTATTTGAATGATCCATGTGTGGGTCTATCCCAACGTTTCCCTACAATTGTATGTAGCTTCGGGAGTAGGGCAACAAACTGTTGATCCTGGCAATATATGAATTCAACGTACCCAAAGGTAAACCAACTGCCGGGTAGGGAAATACTCAACGCACTACAGTCCAAAAAGGTCTGTTGCTCTTTATTTATGTTTGGGCATATCTTGGAACTTCTTCCATTTCCCCTTTATGATTTTTTTTATAGAATAGGGATTTTTGGAAAGATTATGGGTTTTTCAAACAACGTACGAGTTTTTGACAGTGTGCCTTCATTGCAGAGTAGACAAAAATACCATATCTAATCTGCCAGCATGGACCAGCATCTTTGGATGTTGGTTTGTTTTTGACGGTTTTTTCCGATATACATATAGGTGACAGGAGTTGGAATACTACAAAACAATAATACGCTCAGTCCTAATATGTGGTTCAGAGACCTAGACTCTAACAAAAAGAAATGAAAACATGTTAAGATGTTTCGAAAGAAAAGTGTGCTAAGGCGAATCTATGAAGCGGTTAATGACAATAGAGTGTCGAGAAGACGATAAAACTTCGAACTTTATAGAATATAACAGGAACCAGATATCGTAAAATGTATTAAAAGACGATGTCTGAGGTGTCAGATCAGTAGGGCATGTAATGCAGATGGAATAAAATTACCCAGCTAGAAAAACGCTCCTTGATAGAACCATTGGTCACAGAAGAAGAGGAAGATCCAGAACAATGTTCCCTGATAACTTCGATGATGACATGAGAAATATGGGAATACATGCTTAACGAATAAGGAAGGCGATTGATAAGGACGACTGAAGAGAAATGCCAGTATGATAATGATGAGTTGGAATATTTCGGACGTGTAATGAGATATCCGGAGAAATTTTACACCTTATAATATAGGATCAAATTTGCCAGAAGAGCACGGTGCCAAAGAAGAACATGTTATCGATTACTACAAGAATGAGAGATGGAATATATAAAACAAGAAGGAAAGGCGGTGGTAGATCTTTAGGAACAGCAATAATTTTGGACGGTCGAGAAGTGAGAGAGCTAATATTCGGAAGGAAAGTAACATTATGTAGGAGGAATAGAATCCGAGTTAGCGGAGTATTAGATATATACGAGGAATCAGATATAGTTAAGTAATGTGGATTGTGAACTTAAGATAAGGAATAACTCTATGGTATAATTAATGATATAATTCTTTTGAGCTAGATACCAATCACAGAATTACAATGAGCGAATGAAAAAATCGATCATTCAGACTAGGAGTGACTAACATTATCGAAAAATGGAAGGGACTGGCTATTTTCTACATCTATTGTAGACAAGTCTGATGTCGTGTATGCAATTAATCGGAGAAAGAAACGAAGGGTGCTTTAGCCATTAGGTCAGGTCATCAACCTACCGGAGCCCTACCAGAACCATTTAAGTTTAAAGTGGTGCCGTTCCAGAACTGTGGGCTCACGTCCATGGGTGTTCCAGAATTTGTCAAATCCATGGTTTTGGCAAGGATGAGTCAGCACAGTAACGAGAGAATCTTGGTGAATTTGGTAAATAGGAACTACACAGGGAATTCTGTAACTCCGGTGAGTTAATGGTATTAACAAGGGAGCGAAAAGGGGTACACTTTTCTTGAGAATTTTGTGAAGATCGTAAATTGTGGGATCGGTAGAATTTTTATTAATTATCACAGACTTTTCGATATTTTCAGGGATACTGAATTGTTTAAGGATGGAAGAAATTACGATTTCGATCGCGAAAATAATTGAGTAAATGCCTTTGACTTTTTCTATCTGGACAAATATCTTCAAAAGCTTCCGTTCGAGCTTTTATTTAACTTTTTGTGATCAACTTAATCACATTTAAAGGGCATGCTCACCAAGTTTTTGATCTGAAAGTATGATAATAGGAACTGCTCTTTATTTGCAATCTGATGAACTACTTTAAATTCTATTTCAAATCGGAAATTGTTAAGTTTCCATAAAAAATGTGCAATAAAGCAACTTGTTTGATCAACTTTAATCGTCCAACCAAACTTGACTCACGATTTTCTAATTTTCGACATAATAATTAGTTAACAATAGGCAGATCTCGGATAACTGAATTTTACTTACCGCGGCGTACATGCCGAACTGGTAGTTTGGAGCGAGGGTGTTGAACGTTGTCGCATAGAAGTAAGGCGGAGGAGCGGTACCGGTCAGTATCGGCTGGCCTTGATGTCCTTGCGTCAAAGTGCTGGTCTGCTGGGAAAGGGTGGTTGGAACGGGCGACGCGTTGTTGTCGGCTCTCGCAAACCTCCCATCCGATAGCGAATACCCGACGTTGCCCAGTGCTGCGGCGTCTCGTACAGCTGGCATCGTCGTCGGCGTCTGATAACTCATATCATAGTAGGGCGTCGTCGTCTGTGTAGGATAAATACATAGGTTCGTCACATTCGATGGTACCAAATCGACGTCACCAGGTAACTTAGCAAATTTTTCAAGTTTCAATTGAGGTTAAATTGTAATGAAAAGAAAGCTGGCATTTTAAGCGGTGGTGAAGATGAAGAATGCTTTGGAGGCAAGTCGATTTGATGTGATGTTAAATGAAAAGAATGCGAAGACTGTGTATTTTAGATCAGTGCATACCTTCCACCTTATCACACCTTTAATATGCATTATGTGGCAAAGTAAAAACAGGTATAAGAGTTATAGATACAAAGAGTCAGTGCAAAATTATGTTAGATCTTCTGTCAATTCTTTAAATTACATAATTAAGTTGAATGGGAATAAAAGACTGCATTCTAATACTAAATTGTATTAGATTGTATTGAATTGATTCACCTCCTTTTACTTTGGTACCAAATTTAGATATGTTTTATATAAACGAAACGAAGAATGATATCTACGCTGAATATGCCTACCTATTGAACAATTCTAAAATATGCCTTCAATTGACGATAATATATTTTTAACAGTCACACTATCTATACGATACGTTTTTTAAACTTTAAATTACCTTTCGCTATGATGATAAAAGTTTTTGTTTTTAAAAACTGTTTATTGATTCCAATTGACTTACTTTCACCTCAATATATTGACATTTATATGTCAGGATTTTGTAAAATCATCATTTAATAATGAGGTGCTACTGAAAAAGTAATGGTTGGGAAGGAAATTCAAAAACTTAACAACTGAAACTAATAAAACTGAAGACTCGGTTGATATTATTATAGAATTAAATGGTTAACATTTAAAACTGTATGAGAGAAAAGCAATAAAATAGGGATAACCTAAGGTTACTTTACATAAAATCTTTTGGGAATAGGAAAATATGAACGTATTAAAAAAAACTCATATGTTTTTGAACACACTTATGACAAATGAATTATTGGAAAATATTTTTGAAGTGTGTACAGCATTTAATTCCTAGCTGAGCAATTTGGACTTGAAAAGCCATCCTTAGAGCTATGCTATAATATAAATAACTAAGTTAAGTGTTACAGGTGTGTAAAGGGGTAGTGAAGCGCAATACATGATGTCGTATCCTGTTAGCATCGCTCAGCCTCTCCTACTCAATTCCTCTTCACCTCTAAGTTGGTACACACCGGTAACCTGAGCAACCCCACTGGAGATTGGGTAACCAACCCCAGTGGAAGGTGAGGTCAGAGATGACGAAGAAGGGAGTCTTGGTCCCCGATAAATAGGGGGTCAAGCGAATAACTAACAACCCTTCCCTGTAAAACTTAATTGTTGCGGATACGCTGGCTAATGAAACAAATGGACAGATCTCACAACGACGAACTCAGCAAAGAAAAATGGACATGATTATGGATTTAACATTTGGAACCCGGAATGTGCGAACCCTCTTAAAAGACAGAAGCTATGATAAGTATGGCAGAAGAAATTGAAAAATACAGGGTTGAAATATTGGCACTGCAGAAAATCAGATGGAAGAGCCAGGAAGAAATTCGTAAAAATAAGTTCTCACCATACTACTCCAGAAATGAAATGAGACAAGATGAAAGAGGAGTTGGGTTTATAGTAACCAAAAGACAGCGAAAAGACATTATCGCATTTACATCAATATTAGACAGAGTTTGCACCATAATATTCAAAGGGAAACTGCATAACGTAACAATTGTTAATGTATATTCAACGACGGAAGGGGCTAATGAAGACGAGATTGAAAGATACTATGGAGAACTTCAGGAAGTCCAAAGACACGATGCTTTTATAACGTTAGGCGACTTTAATGCTAAGCTGGGGAAAGAAGAAACTTTCGTTAAACATATTTGGAATCACAGTTTGCATAATGAAACCAGTTAAAATGAACAAGTTGCACAATTTGCAACAGCAAATAATTATGTAGTTGTCAGCACTACCAGAGAAAAGATATTCATAAAGGAACATGGAAAATATCAGGAATCAATGAAGCTAATCAAATTGACCACATCCTCATCTCAAAAAGATGGGCAACAGACATAACTAATGTCAGAACGTATCGCGGGGCGAACTCTGACTCAGATCACTATCTTGTGGGGGCAAAAATCTTTGCACTATCTTTGCGCCAGAAAAATCGCGACAGTGGCAAAAGGGAAAAATAGCCAAATTAAAAAATGGAATGTTGAAGGATTCAAAAGTCCAACTAATACACAAGAATATCAAAATACCCTCCAAATAAAACTCAACGAAATCAGAGAGGAAGAATGGAGACAATTAAAAACAATAATAACGAAATCTGCAGAGGAAACTGTCGGAAAAGTCAAAAGGTAAAGAAATGCGGAATGGTATGATGATGAATGCAGAACTGCAGTAGAAGAAAAAAGGCAAGCGAGGCTTAACCAACTTAAAAGAAACACAAGAAATATCAGAGAAATTTATAATAAAAAGAGAATACAAGCGACTAGAATATGCAGAAAAAAAAAAGAGGATTTGAAAAAACAAGTAAAAGAAATCCTAGAACATAACAAGAGACATGAGAGCAGAAAATTCAAGAGAATAAAAGAAAGCACACAGTCACTTATACCAAAATTGACCGTATGCAAAAAAGACGGAGAACTACTAACAGAGAAACAAAAAATTATAATGAGATGGAAAGAATACTTTGAGGAAAACGGACGGAGTGTCGGCAGAATTGTTGAAATATGAAGGACTCAAGCTCTGGGGAAGAATCCATTACCTGATAAAGTTGGTATGTACCAAGGAGCAAATGCCGAAGGAATGGGCAGTTTGTCTTATACAGCCAATATATAAAAAAGGAGATAAGTGGGAATGTCAGAATTACAGACCAATTACATTGCTAAATGTAATATACAAAATCCTCTCTGGCACTATCTACACTAGATTGTCAGAATGCTCTGAAAATATAATCGGTGATAATCAAAATGGATTCAGACCAAATAGAACCCCTACAGACAACATATTCATACTTAGAATATGTTGTCAGAACTTAGAATATGCTGTTCAACCTAGTTATTGAACAGTCATCAGAAAAACCAATGTAACCGGCCATATAAACACCAAAACAGTACAAGTCACTGTTAATTTACTACTAAAAATAGTAAATAGTAACATAATTGTTACTATTAATGTAAATATCGCAGCTAAATTATTTAAAAAATGTATTTATTTTGCGACTAAACATTGTGTCGATGAAGATTAGTAGGTATGCACTTCTCTTGTATAGTTTAACCCCAAAATTTTATATAAAAAGCAGCGTAAACATTTCAAAAAATTTAGTTTTAAAAATTCTTTCTGAAGTCATTAATTTAATCAAATTAGTAGTTGTAGTGAATATATTTACTATGCGAAATACTGATTTCATAATCTATATTAGGCTTAATTATTAGATAATCTAATAATTAGATAGATAAAGATCTATTTTTCAAAATATATTTCTCCAAACAATGAACTTAAATTGTTTTCTTGTGTCCTCTTAATACAATTTACTATTTTTTATTGGGAACAAGCCACAATTTTACTTTAAAATAAATTTATTTTAACGTTTATAAATAAACTTATTTTAAAGTAAAATTGTGGCTTATTCCCAACAATAATAGTAAATTAGCTTTGACGTTTCGATTTCCAATCCGGAAAGAGTTTAAAAAAAAATTCTGAATGTTCAACCTGATGGTGGAGGTAAATAATTGGTGTGGATGGTAATACCAATTTGACAGTTGACTTACTTGGTCTCAATCTTAGACCTTGATGACCTTAGGCCAACAAGTATAACATCTAGGTCAAGTAAATCAACTGTCAAATTGGTACTACCCAAGACCAATTATAAATATTTATAGGTTAGGAGCATTTGTAATTTTTACTTCGGAATTATTTTAATTTGTGTAATTATCTAGTTATTATGGCAATATTTTGAAGCAATTAAATATTTTAATATTTCTTTACATCTATGACAATGAATCAGAGTGAAACTAATTATCCAAGCATAGCTCAATCTTAACTTGAATCTGAAGATGAACAGATCAATATTGGTTCATATGCAGATGAAATTGGATAAATAACGAAACACAATGAATCGGGACATCCATATATTAGTCCACGTCGAAAATCATATGTCATGATAAAAAAGTTCTTATTAAACTCCACCATTGGAGACAAGCATAGTCGGATTAATGAGTCATGAACTGAGATGAACAATGGGAGAGCTACCAGAAATATAGCTGTATCGACGCCAGTAGGAAAGCGTCCACCGGGTCGTCCGCGACTAAGGCTTGGTGACAATATCAAAAGTTCAATGTATCTGCATCATTGGAAGGAGCTGTAATAGACCGCAAACCGTGGCGAGACATATGCAGGTAGGCTAAAACGCTTGTGTGGCCATCGGAAGTAAGTATTGACCAAAATATTAGCATACACATCATTAAGCGTCAAGCTGTATGCTACTGATGATGGATTTTACATTTCTACAGTCTGATAGTCAGTCCATTTCAATAAATTGCAACTTGAATTACCACTAGAAACTCGATAGCCAATATATCAAAGAAATTAAATTGCTATATGAAGGGAAATATGCTCTTTATTAGAGAGTCAGTTTTGAAAAATGCAAAATACAATACAAATCTCGCTTAGTCTCCTACAAAAACGAGAATGGTGAAAAGGTATAACAGAGCGTAGACTATTTAAAAAATTATACCAAGTTTCAAAAATCAAACAAATAATGCTCTTAATATGTCAATTTAGCTGAAAAGTGGAACAAAACGAATTTTGGAAGAGAGCAATCCATAAATCACGAAGATAGTGAGAAAAAGAACCATAATATATTGAATGCAAGTAGAAAACATGGTTTTATTGTAGGAGTCGATCTTGTTTTTGGCCTAAATCGGCCTCTGGTCCGACAATATCAATGCGAAGATGGTTGGAAGGAAACTTATTCCTTCCAACCTGTATTAATAGTATTGGACAATGCTCCGTACCATTCATAAATTGTAAATAAGCTAGCAACAAATGCCTGGACTGTACATAAAGTA